CTTCCACTTTTACCAGAGTATTTTTTAACACAAGTATCTGTACTTTTACTCAAGTACGGAAAGTGAGTACTTTTGCCATCTCTGATTAACCATACATGGAACAGAGTTTTATGGGGCCCCCAGGAACTTGGGGCCCTAGGCAATGGCCTAATATTGCCTAATGGTAAATCCCACCCTGTGTGTAGCTCAGCTGCTATTCATTCTTCATTCATTCATTCTTCATTCATTCATTCTTCATACATTCATTTATTCAACCATGAATGTGCTTCACCTGAATGCCTTGTGCTGGAGAGCGCAGTGCTCTCAGGAAGCGACCCGTGTCGAAGGGGGCCATATCTCCAATGTCAACGTGCCTTTTCTGGAGCCTGGTTGGGACGGGGAGCACCCTCCAGTCTGGGTCCGCCCTGATGTGTGCGGTGCTTTCTAAGAAAGTTGGGAGTTCACCTGAAAGATCCAGCTGAGCTTTCCTGGACGCTCTCAGCTGAAGGATCTAAAGCATTAAAGAGTAAAGAGAACCTGTCCCTCATTCCTTTGTTCAAAGATGTCCTTCTGAGCTGCTTTTGATAGAATCACACGGCTTAAACTGGCTGCATGTTGGAGCAGCTCTGCTAGCTGGCCTCCGATGTTCTTTAAGAGAACTTTAATTCCTCCGTTTCTGGATTGGAGTTGCTGTTTCCTGAAGTTTTTTGCCTTAGTTGATGAATGAAATGTGAAACTGGAGGGTTTTCCACTGATGCTTTTGTATTTTGTGGATACTTGTTATGATGCATAACCACAGCAACCCTAGTTTATTTTTCTACACCCATAAGCAGCTTGTTAACATCTCTAAACCTGAAATAACACATCAAATACTTCAGCAAATTACAGCTGAGTTGAAATGGAGGCTCTGGGGATGCAGAGCAGGAGCAAGAAAAAGAGAGAGGAACAAGACATTGACATTTATTCATTCATTTAATTATCACGGGCAATGTGAGATCTTTAGGAAACAAGATAGAACTCCAAGCCCTACCAAGGACCCAGCCAGAATATCAGCAATGCAGCATTATGTGTTTTACTGAAACATGGCTGCTGGATCAAGCGTCCCTCTGCCAGGCTTCAGACCATACTAGCAGAAAGAGATCAAAGAAGACTGGGAAATTCAAAGGAGGTGGGTTGGTAGTGCTTGTGAACAACAGATGGTGTCATCCAGGACATGATTCTGTGACGATTCATCACTGCAGCCCAGATATTGATCTGTTGGCAGTTGTTGTTTTTTTTAATCCATAATATTAGCCCAGAGAGTTCAGCATTGTTCTGTTAGTAACTGTTTATATTCCACCTTCTGCTGTTGACGGCAATGCATGTGATCTAAACAGTTCAGTTGATGCTAGGCAAGAAAAGCAACAGCCAAATGCATTTGTGGCAACAACTATTGATTTTTATCACGTCTCACTCTGTGCTACACTGCAAACATTCCGACAGTTTGTCAGCTGCTGAACCAAAGAAAACAAAATTTAGACTTATTCTTTGCAAATGCCAAGGATTCCTACACCTCTGGAGTAAGACCTCCTCTTGGGAAATCAGATCACAATCTTTTTTTTTTTTTTTGCTCAGAGTACAAGCCAAGTTATAAGAACAGCCTGCAATAAAAAGAACTGTAAGAGGATGGTCACAGGAAGCTGAAAAAGCCCTGCAATGTTGTTCTGTGGCTAAAGACTGGAGTGTTTCACCATCCCTACCGGAACAGTGAAATTCTTCCCAAATAATAAACCATGGATCACAATTGATCAGAAGGAACTGCTTAACAAGAAAAAACTAGTGTAGAGAAAAAAAAGGAGGCATAGAGGAAGAAAATTTAAAACAGTCCTCAGAAGAACAATATCAGAGATGTTTGGTCAGGGATAAAAAAAACTCAAGAATAACACATTAAAGAGGAAAGTGTTATTTAATAATTCTCCATGCTTTCTATATTTACTAATTTCCCCCAGAATAAAACTTCGAGGAGCAATGATCTATTTAAAAAACCAAGGTAAGTGATAAAATTGTGTTTTTCCCTGTCCTTTCATCTGCAGAAATCCTGGGATGACTCTGCAGTCATTGGGAGCGTCAAAGATGGAGCAGAAGCTGAGGACAGAGAGCTGGTGAAGCGCTTTGTGGCATGCTTTGGAAACAATCATCTGATCCTGAAGGTCAACAAAACAAGGAGATGATTGGAGATTTCAGAAGAAACAGGAACAAATTGAATCCTGTTAACATCGCGGGAGAAGAAGTGGAGGAGGAGTAGAAATTCTTTGGTGTTCATTTGGACAACAAACTGGAGACACAACTAGGAAGCCGTCTGCAAGAAGGGACAGATCGGAATGGACTTCTAGAGGAAGCTTAGGTCCTTCGGTCTTTGCATTTTGATCTCTTCTGCCATCATCTGCTGAGGTAACAGCCTTGGAGCTAATGGATTAGTTCAGAAGCTAATTAAGAAGACCGACTCTGTTCTAAGAACTCCTCTGGAGATTATTTCACAAAAATGAATCCTTCATAAAGGAAAGAACATTCTGGACAACAGTAAGCATCGTCTTCAGAAGATTTCTAAACAACAACAAAGTGTCTTCAGTCAGAGGCTGATCAGATCAGTGAAAGACAGACCTCTACAGTAGATCCTGGTTGAAAATAACCTACAAGGTATTGTAATATTTAATTTCCCTTTGGGATTAATAAAGTCTTTTTAAATTTGTATTGAATTTGAATTTACCTGTTCCACCTCTGCATCAAACGTGGAAATCAGCTCATGGAGGAAGTGGAGGCAGCCAGTGGTGAAAAGACCTGCATACTCAGCCTCTAGGCCTCTGGGAGGTGGAGACAGCTCCATGAGGATCTACTCTGCACCTGGAAGAGAGTTTGGCAACAAAAAACAAATGATGAAATAGTTGCAAGGCACACTCCAGATATGATGATTTACTATGAGAATGACAGAAATATTGAAAATAAAAATAAATGGACTGAATTACTTCTTCCCAGACACCACCTCCAACTCTGCTGGAGGAAGTTGAGATTTTCTAGAGACAGCCTAGAGACATAGCTAATTGGTCCTGAGCTATCTCTATAGTTCTGCTGCTATAGGCTTAGACTTCTGGAGGATATAGGGACCCCTTTCTCATCATTCTGCTTCATTCTATCTCTATTATCCCACTAGAATGGGAGGCAGATGTTTTAGTTATCAGGCTCCTCTCCTGTGGAACCAACTACCAGTTTTAGTCCGTGAGGCAGACACCCTGTCTACTTTTAAGGCTAGGCTTAAAACTTTCCTTTTTGATAAAGCTTCTAGTTAGAGTGGCTCAGGTTATCCTGAGCTATCTCTATAGTTATGCTGCTATAGGCTTAGACTGCTGGAGGACATAGGGACCCCTATTTCATCATTCTGCTTCATTTAATCTCTATTCTTCCGCTCTGCAGAATCTATTAGTTCAATCTCTAACGTTTTTCCTCTCTGCCTACATATGATATGTGTTGTGAATTGGCGCTATAGAAATAACTGAATTAAATAGTCCATCCGGCATGTCCAGTGCTATCCTCTGGGCCTCTTGCTTGGACATTGGAAAAACAGATATCTGAGCCAACTCAACTCATCAGGATGTGGAGGAAAAGTGGTTCTACTCCCACCTCGCCTGTTCTGTATGACAGAGCATCTAACTGTATCTTTATTAAGGTAGTACCAGCCACCCTGCGAAGGAAGCTAATTTCAGCAGCTTGTATAAAAGATTTCATTCTTTAGGTCATGATCCAGATTTCCTGATCATAGGTGAGGGTAGTAATGTAGACCAACCTGCAAATTGAGAGTTTTGCCTTTTGGTTCAACTTTCTTTTCAATATAACAGACCAGTTTAGTGCCAGCATTATGGGGGCAGCTGCATCGCTCCAGCTATCAATCTCCTGTGTTAGGGTTTCTGTTTGTGGAAGATGTTTTGTGTTTTTTTTTCTTTTGGTGTCTCCATCCATCCACTAAATGGTGCCCTTTTTCCCTGTTGGCATGGAGGGCCTTTTCCTGGTTACCACCCACACCTGTGGCTCGTTTGGTCTTTACCAGAGGGGTATTTGAGAAGCGGACTGTCACCACCTTGACGTCAGAGTGTTTGCCAGTATTGGGTACTCTAGTCTCTCTGAGATTAGCTGAGTCTAAACTTTGAGTTTTCTTCTCTCTGAGTCCTAAGTTCTGACCCTTTGTCTCCTTTGTGGTCTCCATCAGGATTATTTCCTGATCAACTGGATAAGCCTGGTCCTTCAAGCCTTGGAAGGAATCTATGCGTCTCTCTGAGACTAAGGTAAACATCCACCACTTCAGTTTGCAGTCCACTTCAGGAAAACTTGCTGACAGTCTGCTCCCCTGCTCCTCTGGACCTTTACAAGTCTGCCTGTCCACCCTCCAGGCAGGGGGGGATTTACCATCAGGCAATACTAGGCAGTTGCCTAGGGCCCCAAGTTCCTGGGGGCCCCATAAAACTCTGTTTACGCGTATGATGAATACAACAATTTCTTATTTGTGCACATTAATTATGTTTTTGATAAACATCCTTCTGCTAAAATGCCATCAGAAAGCTTATAATATTGTGTCTGATAATATGTTTTAGCAAACATACTAATGTTTGCTAAAACCCTCAGGTGGAAGGAAAGGAGGCTCCTGGTCCTCTCTTTGACTTTGGACTCCTCATGTATCACTGTGGAAGGACACTGCTGGAGAACCAGAGTGGACCATTTTTCTACCTGTCCAAGGTAAACACAAACACACGTATGGTTCACAGAAAGGTTTCTAGAGCTGCCCAACTGGGTTTTACTTCAGCTTCTCAGTTTCTTTGGCTGGGGGGGCGGCAGCTCAGAAGGTGGGGGCTTGTTCTGTAACCAGTGGGCTGCTAGTTTAAGCCCCTGCTCTGTCTTTTTCATAGCTGCATAAGTGTAAGGCACTTTACCTGCTTTGCCCACTGTTGGTAGTCAGAGGGTATAGTGGTGCCACTCAGGGGGGGATTTACCATTAGGCAATACTAGGCAGCTGCCTGGGGCCCCAAGGTCCTGGGGGCCCCATAAAACTCTGTTTACATGTATGGTTAGTACAACTATTCCTTATTTGTGAACATTAATTATGTTTTTGATAAAATCCTTTGGCTAAAATGCCATCAGAACGCTGATAATATTAAGTGTGTCTCAGCCCCGAGAAACTGTATCATATATTATTTAAACATCTAGTGAATTTCTGCTTGGCAGAATCAACAGCTGCAGCACAGAACAACATGTAACAAAATTGTTGCTGTAGCTTGTTTGAATACAGTTTTACTGAATCTTTCTCTGTCTCTATCTCTGAAGCTTTTTCAATTCCAAAGCATTGAGTTTGAGGTTTTATAGAGAACACCTCGCCTGTTCAGCCAGGCCAACAATCCCCTTCAACGACCCTTTTCACAAAACATAGACAGGTATGGGGTATTACAGGCTAGCAGAAGAACCCAAACGACCCCCATTCCAAAGGGATGAAGCCTAAAGTGACTCAAATCCGATTTCTTTGTCCATGTACAACCTGGATCGGATCTTTTCATAGCAGTCTGAACAACTCAGATCTGATTCTTTGCAATGCGAGCCAGTCCACCTGACTCTGTGGTCCTGAATCCGATACAAATCTGATCTTTTCAAATGCGACCTGTGTCATCTGACCTGAACGTCATTAATACTCAACAAAGGTCACCATTCTGTGTCCTGCTATGCAGAAACTCAGAGAATAACAACCATGGTGGACAGGCTCAGACTGGGAACGATTTTTGGCCTTGGCATTTTTCCATCCACACCGACCCACTTATGGACCCGCCTCTGCCTGAGTTGCAGCTGATCAATCTAGAAATAGAAGAAATATTGGTACTGGAGCTGGCAGAGAAGTGAAAGAAGCTTCATGTTCATGATTCGTTTTCCACAATGGCGGAAATACAAACAAAACAAAGCGGTAAGCTACCAAACAGGAAGTATGCATTGGGTAGAGCGGATGTAGAATTGACCAATCAGAGGCCTCCTTTCTGCGGCACTGTCTGCGGTAACCCACAATTTTTTAAAGGTGCAGCAGAGTGTCTGCGGAAGTGGGGAGGCATATCTACGTTAACTGCGACACAAACACAGATGACCTGGTTTCTGAGCATAAACCAGGCTTTAAAGGTATACTGGAGGATTTTCATGAATTTTTGAAAAAGACTTTAGAAAAAGAAATCCACATGCACAACCCTGTACCTGCTCCCGAGAGGGAACGCCTATTGAAAGCATGTCAGAGCGTGCACAAGTCCATTTCTCCTCGTGCATGCTCTGTTTTAAAGGTGCTGTTTGCATCGCTCATACAAGCTTACTTTGCAAAAGAGGATCTGCAATTATTCCACCATGTAAGACTCCCCACCAGTAAGGGAGAATGTAGTATGGCCTTACATAAACATATCACCAGAATGATTGACAGTTAGGGGGACCAGTTATTTAGATGATCCACCCGGAAAAAGAACATCCTCCACTATACCTTTAAGTTGCATGAATGCGGTTAACACAGGAGATCTCATATCAGTTGCATATGTTTGGAAATGTGAATGACCACGCAAAAGAATCAGATTACACAAAAAAATCGGAACTGAGCATCAAGGCCTGCAGTGTGAACGTAGCCTTAGTTTGGACATCAACAGGTTCTGACTCCAGTGTTTTATCTCTGCAGTAAAGCTCTCCTCTCCTGAACCGCCCCTAAAACTCCATTAATGATATTAGCTCAGCTCTACTGCAGCCCTTAGACATAACTCTGTTTAGCTCCTAGACAAGGTTTACAGACATACTTACAGAAGCCGTGCAGATGGGCTTGTTGGCTGCAACGTTTGGACTTTGAATGTTTGTTCACTGCAGCCCCTGTTCAAACAGGAACATGATGCAGTTTATGTGTTAGCATGAAGCTTGACAGAAAAAGGTGTATCAGTTTGAGTCATTTGGGACTTGGTTTATTTTCATTATGACTAAATGGGGATAAATGATCAGAAAAAAACAAAGCTTGGATCTTTGTTTCAGATAGTTTTCATTTCAGGTAAAAATCTTGAAAGTCTATTCCTGATTGTCCCATTAAATACCCAGGCAGAGGATATCCAGAGGAAAGACTCCAACCAGGATGTAAACAGCTCAACAGAAGTCTCTTTCCCCGATCATGTACATGGAGATTGCATTATCACCTGTATTTGTCAGAGTTTCATTGCCATTTTCTTTGCATTTCTGCCTTCCCAGAGAGGAGCAGTGGATTGAGGGCCCTCCTCGGCGGCCCGACGTGACCGTGTGAGGTTTGACCTGGTTTGACTCTGCCGGCACCCACAGGAAGTAAAGGCCCGGCTCTGGAACCAATACAGGTGATTTAATTCTGAAGAAGTGGCTGAGAGTGATTCAAATATCCCAAAAAAAGAAAGTTAAAAACAATCCACTGGACTTTGTTTCCAAGTTTGAAGACGTTTCTCTTTCCATACTGGAAGCTTCTTCAATTCAAAATGTCAGAAACAGCTTGGAGTTCCAGGTTTTATCCAGCAGCCCAACAAAGCCTTGTTTTTGTTTAGAAAACATGCAAATAGAAACGGACAAACGGGTCCACCCCTTTGGAATGGGGGTCGTTTGGCTTCTTTGTTAGCCTGCAATGCCCCATACCTGTCTATGCCTCTGAAAGGGGGGGTCGTTTGGCTTCTTTGTTAGCCTGCAATGCCCCATACCTGTCTAAGTCTCTGAAGGGGGGTCGTCAGCGGGAATGAATGGCTTAGCTGAAACAGGCAAGGACTTTAATTCTTTTGCAAAGCAGCTTGAAAAGTATCTTTTTGGACACATTCATTGTCAAATGGAAATCCATCCATCTATTTTCTGTTACGGTTATCCCATGCAGGGTGGCGAGTTGCGCTGGTGCCTGACTCCAGCTGTTTACGGTGGAGAGGTGGAGTCCACCCTGGAAAGGATTCCAGTCCATCACAGGGCAACACAGAGAAAAACAGAAATTTTTGAGAAGCCAATGAACCTAACAGTCATGTTTTTGGACTGTGGGAGGAAGCTGGAGTACCCGGAGAGAACCCACGCATGCTCTAGGAGAACATGCAAACTCCATGCAGAAAGACTCCAGGTTGGGAATCATATCGGCTCCTTCTTGCTGCAAGGCAGCATTGCTACCCACTGCCCACCGTGCAGCATTCACATGGAAATGTTTGAAGGAATAAACCAGTGGGGGACTGGAACTCCTGTGGTTGTTAGTAAAAAACTTCAGACATTAAGTTTGAATTTTTTCCCCGCTGTTTTTTACTCAGGCAATTTGAAATTGCATGATCCTTGCAAAAGTCAATCTGCCATAAAACACTAAACATTATGGTCTAGGAAATTATTTTCAAAAATTGATCAAAATAGAATTGCTTTTTGAAAATCCTTCTTATGCTTTTTCATTTTTTTCCAGCCTGTCATGGTTCTGCTGTGGTACAATGGTAGGTAGACCAGATGTTCATCATGTTTATAATATTTTCTTTTTGTCTGGTATAATTATAATTTCCTGCATTACTTCATCATCTGTTGCTACTCTTATCCATGCTTTTCACCATTTCAGCTGTGGTTGGTCACAGACACTCAAATGTCATGTTTTCTTTTCAGGAAGGAAGATTTTATGTCGATTAAACATCTTAGAACAACATAGGAGAAGGCAGACCACCTAATCTGGCTCAATAATCACCAATCAATCAATGACTTTAATTGATTTAAAGCAAAACCCATCAAGCACCTTTGAGGGAAACAGAGCAACACATCAGTGGTGGGTTTTATTTTGAAAATCCAGAGCGGAAGTTGTCCTCTGGAGCGTTTCCGCTTTCCTCTGCCGGTGTGACAGCTGCTGGACTTGGCTGCAGGCAGACCTTCAGGACGCTATGGAAGCCAAAGCTCAGATCCAGGAGGCCGTTAAGATCCAGGGGGAGGTGGTCCGGAAGCTGAAGGCCGAGAAGGCGAACAAAGAGCAGGTCAGTCTCCTCCCGGCTGGACGGGCTCTGACATGCGCTGCTAGGACAGCGTGCTCTGCATCATTAGCATCACTCTGCTTCTTTCAGAAAAACCACAATCACAGCACAGCTAAAAGCATTTGCTCGTGTAAATGTCCCTCAGCGGACACCATAGCTGCTAAGGATCCCTGGATTCTGCGGCAGCAGGGTTTGCTCCGGAAACAGCCGGTGTGTTTAGCTAGCTGAAGCTAGCCGGCTGCTAGCTGCAGCGGCTATTGCTAACAGGGTGACGTCAGAAACGTCATGCCTTTAAAAACCAGGATTGAAACTGATCCTGAGAGTCTGACCATGATGATAATGACGTCAGAGGCTCAGCTGATGCAACAGGCTGCGGAAGTTACGTCAGCTGTCTGACAGCTTCAGCAGCTCAGCTTTGATCAGGAGGTATCCTCCATGATGCTGTCCTCTCTGTGGGAGACACATCTGGACACATCTGGGCTGGAGGATAGAGCAGCATCAGCATTCTATTCAGTTTATTTCTATAGTTCCAATTCACGTCATGTCATC